ACTTTGCAATTATCAATTTTGTATCGTAAACAATAAAGAGTGACCCAAAATTTCGCCCGTTTCGTCGACCTCGGGAATTCGATTAAAAAGTGGTCTAAATTATAGCTTATGGCGATACTTTAGAGTAGAACAAATTTCAAGTTGAGCGTAGGTTTGGTTTTGGAGATATGACGAGTCGAACCTGTTAGTTAACCTGTTCACGCCGAGATGAATCAAACATTCTTGACAATCTTGTTCATTATGTTCAAGGTTCTCAAACACGCAAAATATATTCCTATATAAAATCTTCTATTCTTTTCGAATCTGTCATTAGATATTGTTCAAGTGAGGTATAGCCGATTTTACAGAAAAAAACAGGATTTTTGCCGAAAATATTCGATCAATCGGTATCTTTATACTATAGAGTTAGCAAATCTTGATAGATAATCCAAAGTATTCGAACGGGAGGCCTTTGAATTAATAAGTAAATGTATATTTCTAAGAAAGATTAGGTTTGGTTATATTACTGAAATGCACATTATTTCAATAATATATAAGCCTCTTCACCACGACACGGTACTAATCCACGAAGAGGTTTGTTTTTTTTGTATTTTTTTTTTGTAATTTTTACTTGTTTTGTTGTTTTTTGTAATTTTCTTTCTTTTTTCTTTTTTTAGCCTTTTTGTATTTTTTTAAAATTCACAAATAAATTAATTTCTGAAGCGAATCTTAATAGCAAGTGTATTTAAGTATGCGAATCTACTTCTTTACGTATAGAAATAGATATGTCACAAATATCTGGATTCGGTATATGAACTCCTTCATACTGTGCGTAACCCAGATACCAAACGATTGTCATAACATGGCTGCAACAACCAACTGTCCGTGAACCACTTTCACAGGTACAGTAGTACTCCAGGATTGAATCTCTTCCAGTCTTTGCTTTATCGACTAGGATAAAAATGTGATGATATTTTCCACTACGATATCGGGATTTCATGTAAGCTTTGATAAGTAAAGGATTTTTGACATCAATCTCATATCTAGCATAATCCAAGGTAGCTGTTCGGTGTCTCGGTGGTGGAGAAAACTTTTGTACTAAGAATATGCCTTCATTTGTATGCTCTGCATAGTAAGAAGCTGCATTTCTTGTTTGATAAGGACCTAAACCTAAGTGGTACAAGTGATCTAAGGTTAGTCTAGGGAATTGCAATCTTTTATTATTCTCTTCATTATCCAATGCGGTGTACTCGATGTCAAGATAGGGAGCTTTAAGTTGAGAAAGATTAAAATCCTGAGCAATAAGTTTCAGACGGTTTGGGACGTTTACTCGTGATTTCATTATTTGAGCAATATCCTGATGAAGCTTGTCACTTAAGACAGGTTTATGAAATAAATTTAAAAGTGCAAAAGCAATTAGTAGATAGCCGAAATCATGATTTAATGTTGCATTATGGGCTGGCAAAGCAAAATATTTGAACTTTTTTTTGAGGCGGCCGAAAACTTGTTCAATAATCCAGCGACATTTTGTGACAAATCTAGACATATTTGCTTCCATCGTCTCAAGTTGGCCAAGTCCAGGGCAATGAACATTTAATTTCTTACTTTCTGTTAAAAAATGCAAAACGTCCCTAAAACCTCTGTCAACCAAAATATGATCACCTTCTGCAATCGTATGCAATTTGTCTGCGAACCTACAGAAACAATCTTCTAAAATAGTTGCATCATTATGTCGTGCGTCAAACGGACCCAGTACAAATAGAATATATCCATCAGACGCACAAGCCACCATGGGTTTCACTAAAGGCATCTTCTTTTGTTCACTCCAAAGTTGTTTCTGTCCTGCGAAGTTAGATGATTTCTGAACTAGCCGATACGTAGCATCAAAAACAAGACATGCCTTGTCATCTGTTATATCAAATAATATTTTTGCCATTTCAGTGTTATGTGATAATAACACTGAGCGATAATTATTATTTATGAATTGAACTAAGTTCTTTAGAAGATCTTCTCTGGCTAAATTCATATAATTGGCAATAGTTTGATCGCTAACTCCGAAGAGAAATGCGAGTTGATTATTAGAAAGACTTGTACGTAACTTGCACAAAAGAACCGCTATGTGTTTAGGTTAACAAGTTTTAGCATAAGAACAAATTCGTTGAAATTCTATTATACTATAAGCAAACCAATCTTTAAATATTTCATCACCAATACGATCTATTGCGTTGATGTCAAATACAGCTTTTTGAGAGCTTTTCATTTCTTGATAGTATTTGTACATTATATTAGAAACACTTTCTGTTCCTTTTCACTGACAATTGCAGATATTTGCTTAACAAGTGGCCAATAATTAGGAATACCAATATGTGAACTACACATGCGTGAGTCTGGGAGAATCAAGAATTTGTAGTTCATAAGGAGCTCATGGGAAATCGCTTTCGGTACAGAAATCAAGTTCTGAATATTCTTACAGCCAAATGTACATCTCCCGTGAGAGCTATTGCCTCTACGATAAATTGACAAATCAGGCGTGTCTGATTCAGTTAATTGTGATATTTTCGGTTTTTTGGATATTTCATAACAACTTTTACATAGCTGACCATTTTGCGGCATATCACGTAGAACTTCTAGTTTTCGTTTCTTAGCATTTTGAGTTTGGCGTAAACAATTAATCGTCAATAATGGATTCTCTAAATGACTCATTCCATAAAACTTGTCATTTTTTGAGCGTTTTTGCTCGTTACAACCTAAGCATATTTTAAATGGCATAGTAGATGAAAAAAAAATAATTGTCTCAAAGTATATATATATAGATTTGCGCCTTCCGAGAATTGACGCGTCGCAGTTTTCGGTTCAGAGGAGCCGCGAGGCCAAAAGGGGAGGATGTGCCTTTAATAGCGTTTATATTGCCCTGACTGTTTACGTTTGGTGCCCCTCAATTGGAGTCGAAGGTCAGAAACAAAACCGAGCTGAAAAACTTCGACTGTATTAAAGATTTTTTTTAAATTGATTTTGATGTAGGCGAGCCTGTTGAGCGTCTGGGCGAGCAGGAGGCGCGCCAGGTCGCCCTTGACCTACAGGGTTCGGGGCTCCTGGCGAAGCTGATCAGATGTTCTTGGCCTGGACGAAGGAGAGCGCTGAGAAGCACTGGTTGAGGAGATAGGGAAGAAATAAATAAACACGAAGTGATTATTTAGGAAACCAAAAATCAAGTTGTTGCGCAAGAGAGCCTGCGGGTGGGTTATTACAATTCTATTGCATGCATACAATTATGTATCCTTACAATAGTTTGGATAAGATTAGATATTATTTAAGAAAACATCATATCGTGATGAAATCCTTCTAGAAAACTATGATATCCATTTGTCGAAAGGTGAAAACAACTACACTTTTTGCAAGCGATGAGTTTACATTTTCATCACTCAAACTATGTAAAGTAATATACGCAACTATTTCTTAAGAGAAGTTTTCCACCGTCTGCTCGACAGCACCTAAATTCAGCAGAGATCTGATTATTCGCTAAACCCAGCAACTCCTAGAAATGCTTGGTATATAAATCCATCCATTTGGTATGTTTTTAGTATAAAAATACCGATTAATCAAAGATTTTTAGCAAAAATGCTAATTATTTTCTACAATACAAGTTTAACTCGTCATATCTCAAAAATAGAAACTATGCTCAACTTGACATTTCGTCTACTTTAAAGTATCCCCATAAGCTATCATTTAGTCCACTTTCGAATTGAATTCATGAGGTCGACGAAACGGGCGAAAAATTGGGTTTTTTTTGGGTCACTCTTTGAGCTGGAAAACGACTTCTTAAATTGTTGATAGTTTTGATCTAATTATTACATGCGAAATTGAAATAATTTATTATAGATATAAAATCATAAAAAAATTTTTAGTGTATTTCGAGAAATGATCTGAAGACTCGTTATGAGCTATAAGTATTTTTTGAAAATTGTCATTTCTGTAATATTTCAAACGATTGAAGACAAAAAAAATTAAATCATTAGGAGAATCTTTCCTAATGAACAAAAAAGCCGTAAAAATTTTGTATTGCGTTGGCGAGTAGTTACTAAGTTTTAGATCCTATCATTAGATACCAAAATGTCAATGTATAAAATCTTACTTAAAAAAAGATGCAAAGTTACCGATCAAATCCTGTTTTATCTTGCTCCTTTTCCGTGAGGCAAAGTTGAACAATTGAAAATACTTGTACGTATATGAAATAATGTAACAGTCGATTGGTTAAAATAGTTTATAAAAATGTCAGCGTAAAAACCAAATGTGTTTTCTAGATTAAGTAGATTATTGTGTAGTTTGGTACCTTGTGAAATACTATGTATAAATTGGTACAAATTTATAAGCATTTGTAAAAATTAATAAAGTTTTCTACCGATGAAAAAATAAGTACTTTAATACTGTGAATTACTAAATATCGTTTGAATTAATAAATAAATGAACTTATTGATTATTTCCAAATAAAGTTGGTACGTACCTGCGACGTAGCAGGAACGAGATAGTAACATATTATAGACGGGGCAGGAACGTTCCATTGAAAAATGCGGTACTGGTACGTACCGGGAACGTACCCTAATGCAAGGGTATGGCAATTTTTCTCGTCCTGAAACGTATCGGATTCGTGGCTGCTACGTACCACTGTCTGCATCCTGGGTACGTACCAGGTACGTTCTTATCGGTATCCAGGATACCATGATGAAAATTTTTTTCGATTTTGGGATCGTTCCAAAACCGTACCGGGAACGTACCCAGACGAATCCTATGGAACGGTATTGGAACGTTGCGGCAACTTTGCAGTACACAATGCCCGGAACGTTCCAGAAACGATATTTTTTCTACCATAGCGGACATTGTCACCCATCCTGGTACGTACCCGATACGATTCCCATCCGCACCACCTTTCGTACCAAAGTTCCTAAAAACTAGTTGCGGGTACGTTCCCGGTACGGTTGATGTTACCTGGGCGTATTCTTGAAATATTATCTTTATTAGATGCAATGGTTGCTTTCTATGAATTTTTATATTTATTCAAAACGAAATGCGTTTTAGCAGCGCACAACTGCAAGTTCGATTACACAAGATTGTTAATGGCAATGAAGAAGACGTTCATGGAGACTTATTTTAAATCAATTATTTTTGGCTTTGTCGATACCTTACCGCTAATAAAAAAATGTACGCAAAAAAAAGGAAAAGGACAAAATACATTAGTCACGGTCGCAAACAATTTGCAAATTGAAACTAGTCAAGCACACGATGCTCTTGCAGATGTACTTATATTAGAAAAAGTAGTCGCAAAATTTAATATTTCATATGAGACAATGATTAATTGTACTGTATGTATGATCGATATCGTTCAACAGCAAAATGTGAATGCACAAATACGTAAAGCTTTAAAAAATCTCAACGTATTAAATTCATGTACTTCTAGTGGTATTCGCAAAAACATTGCTGCTGCTCAAATCTCTTACGAAATGATTTTGAAGTCCTATGAAGATAATAAGCTTCAAGGATTACAAAATCTATTAGGTAATAAAGAAAATGGTAACATCAAAGTTACAAAAAATAAAAAAGTTATTCAAAAAATTTATGATTTTTTGTTAAACAATGATAATATCATTTAATATATACCTTCATAACTTAATTTTATTAGCGTAATCAAAGAATAGATATAAAATCAAAAAGTTCTATTGCAATTGTTACGAATTTATAAATTCATATATAAATTTTAGTATGATTATTAATTATAAGTTCAGCTTCGTTTTGGTTAAAAAAATTATATTTATTTTATTCTACTATTGAATGTGAGTTTCTTAAAAAACCTAAGCTAATTTATTCATTATTAGTTATAATTACTATTCTGTTTTTTAATAATTTTGTTTACGAGGTAATATTTATAAATAATAGATATTTTATTAATAAATTTTGAAAAAGATGAGAAGTTATAGTTTTTATTTCTATACATATTTGACCATTCTACTTCACAAAGCATTTTGAATAGATTGCGCGCGATGATTCTAACCTATATACAATGCGACGTTGCCCACTCTACCTAGCAGTCATCATGCTTACATTTTACACACGGTTTATTCTTTGTTAACTTATTATTGCTAATCTCATAGGTAATGAATGCTAATTGTAAAAGCAGGTAAATAATAGTTGAAGATTCTTTTACCACCTAAACAAATTTCACCGAAATCTTGTCGTTAATTGCTGAAATATTGTAATATGAATAGCGACGAAAATTGATTTCCCATAAGAGCACGGGTTAAACCCTAAAAAATTGAAACATTAATTTCTCGCTTCAAAAGTAATGAACATCCCTGGAATTTAAACTGTATCGAATTTATACACTAATCTACTATTGTGTAAAGTTTTAACTAATTCTTGTCGTTAATAGTCGAATCGATAGAACTACATTAAATACTCTATGGAAAAATATAAAGGAGTCAAAGTTACAGCTATTAAAAATATTCCTATCAAAACTGTGATGAAAAATATGTTTGGATATTATAAGTGTATCACTCCTGAAGAAGAACAATTATTGACATGGAACAAATTAGATTTTTCGTTTTCATATAGCACCAAATCAAATCAACAGAATATATTATTGGGTACAATTGCATTTGTGAACCACGACTGCAATCCAAATGTGGAATTTGTAACTTGTGAAAAGCATATGGTGTATTTAACAAGTTTAAGAGAAATTAAAAAAGGTGAAGAGCTTTTAGTCTTTTATGGAAACAACTACTTTGGTTATGGCAATGAATCATGCGAATGCGTAACATGTAAGATAAATAGTAAGTGGGATTCTATATTGATATTATTTCATCTTCGTTATATTTTTAATGAGTTGTATTTTCATTTTCAGATTCAAAGACAAATAATGAAAATGGTGATTCAGTTAATGAAGTAGTCTCACTAAATGATTTTGGTTTTAAAAAAAGCTGTCTCACTAGTGATAGTTCTCAGTATAATTGTTTCACAATCGTTACAAGCACTATTGAAGACATGAATGGTAGAGTCATTTTAATATTTTCTCTTAAAATTATAGTTACTTACAAGTTTTAATAATATAGATTCTCTTAAAGAATTTCATGGTTTTTCTTACTACGTTCAATTGGATAAAAAGCTCAATAGAGCATACATAAAATTAGAGAGGATGGATCTATCTATTATTCAATTGTACAAAGCTAAACCAAATAATTCTGCCTTTTGTATATATTGTGAAGATTTTAAGATTAAATTTCCAAGGCATCTTAGATTTTATCATAGTAACCAAGATATAGTAAAAAATTATGTAAATCATGAAGATCAGAACATAAAAAATTCAGCATTAAGTTTTTTAAGAAACCAAGGTTCTGCACATTATCAAAATTTACAAGCATAATAATTCCAGTGATGACTGTTAGAAAGGATGCTGTACATGAAATACAAAAAGTAGAGTGTACAAACTGTTTTGCTTACTTTTCAAAGAGCACATTGTGGAAACATTTTTTATATTGCCAAAAATTTAATGTTTCAACAATACGTAATTTACAATGAATATTCATCATAATAATAACCCAATAATTTGCTAAAAATACATTTTCAATTAATCTGTTACTTTACTAATCTAAAATTGTTTAATCTAAAATTTTATTTATTATTTACAAAAGACAATGTGATAACCTCAAGCATAGTGTCCGTGTGTTTTATATATTTATTAAAAAATTTAACAGAAAATATTTTACAAAGCTTCTTTAGATATAGTGGACTTAAATAATTGTGACGTACATTGTATATTAAAATGACACCAAACGTCATGGGCTGTAAAAATAATTTTTGATAATAAACGAATGATTAATATAAAATAATTAAAATAGTCAATTGAAAATACATTTAATACTCTTAATATAAAATTGTATCTCAAAATATATTTCTAAAATATTTATTAAAAAGTTAGTTCAATTTAGATTTTTATAAATGACTAGCCTTCAATAACTCTTCCATAAATAATAACTAATCAAAATTGTATACTTGACAACTGTTAAATTTATTACATAATGAAAAAATATTTAGTCATCGATTGTTCTAATTAGTGAATATTTTTATTATTTTTGGTGAAAATATATTTTCAATGAATGCCTTAACCAGTGTATTGAATTAAGGAGTTATATTAGAAATTATGAGAAAATTAATGAGTATGAAGTTCCGAACGTTCGAGTTGAATGAAAATTTTTAATTTCGAAATCAGCGTTCAACTCGATATTTATTGAATCAATATGGTACAATAACGATATATTAACTAGAAAAATTGTCCAAACTTAATTACAACCCTTTAAAACTACCCTTAATTATTATGCCACTGTCTCTCCCATACCTACCTATACAGCAAGTCATTACACAAATATTAATGAACAAGCGATTAGGTACGTCATCTATTATAGTGTTGCGAAAAACTACAAATAGTTTGAGTGTTCGGAAACTACCCTCAGTCACCCCTATGAGGTAAAGTAGCCTCTCAGGCGAAAAATTGAGTATTTCGCCCACAATTTCTTTTTACACGAATATTATACTCAAAAACATGATTGGCATTAATTATTATATCCTATAGTATAAGTATAAAAAAGGCGAGCGTGCGGAACTACCCCCAGCCACCCCTACGTCCATTTGAACTAAGCCGCGCGAGTGAAATTTTCAGTTATACGTGCATAATTTATTATTAAACATTTTTATTTTTACAATTAATTTTTCTCGTTGCGTACTGTGTCACTGGCAATCAGTGGATTCAATGCGCGCTTGCGGAACTACCCCTAGCCACCCCTACGTCCATTTGAACATAGCCGCGCGAGCGAAATTTCCAGTTATACGTGCATAATTTGTTATTAAACACTTTTATTTTTACAATTAATTTTTCTCGTTGCGTATTGTATCACTGGCAATCAGTGGATGCAATGCGCGCTTGCGGAATCATCCCTTAGCCACCCCTACGTCCATTTGAACATAGCCGCGCGAGTGAAATTTTCAGTTATACGTGCATAATTTATTATTAAACACTTTTATTTTTACAATTGATTTTTCTCGTTGCGTATTGTATCACTGGCAATCAGTGGATGCAATGCGCGCTTGCGGAATCATCCCCTAGCCACCCCTACGTCCATTTGAACATAGCCGCGCGAGCGAAATTTCCAGTTATACGTGCATAATTTGTTATTAAACACTTTTATTTTTACAATTAATTTTTCTCGTTGCGTATTGTGTCACTGGCAATCAGTGAATTCAATGCGCGCTTGCGGAATCATCCCCAGCCACCCCTACGTTCATTTGAGCATAGCCGCGCGAGCGAAATTTCCAGTTATACGTGCATAATTTGTTATTAAACACTTTTATTTTTACAATTGATTTTTCTCGTTTCGTATTGTGTCACTGGCAATCAGTGGATGCAATGCGCGCTTGCGGAACTACCCCTAGCCACCCCTACGTCCATTTGAACATTTCCAGTTATACTTTATATATATCGACCCCTACGTCCATTTGAACATAGCCGCGCGAGTGAAATTTCCAGTTATACGTGCATAATTTGTTATTAACCTTTCCAGTCCCTTATGGATTAATTAGATTTAGCTTTGCACCAGATCATCCAGAAGTGAAAAACGTTATCAATACTTTTGCAAAAATCGCTTTTATTAAAAAATCTTACAGTATCTTTATTACAAAATTATTAAATATCATTTTCGACGACTGTCTTCAAGAACCTGAAAAACGGTAATATTTAAATTAATATATTTCTTTTTATTTTACAATTCCTTACGTTTAAATTACTTACTTCTTTTACCACGTAATAGCGATCCCGCCACATTTTGGCTTGATCCATAAAGTATTTCTTACTTCGCTTTACGGCCGCTAACTTCTACAAAAAACGAAGAATAATAATTAATATTAAATGTAATTAATTTAATTAAATTTATAAAAAATCACATTAATTTGCTTACATTTTTCAATCTCTCCAGCTCGGTCTCCTCAGGATCAATATGTCGATTTGCTGGCTGCCTGTGATAATGAAATAAGAAATATATTCGTTATATTGAATATTAATAAATAACTAACAGCAAACTATGATAACTCAGACAGCGATAAGAGTATAGCTGGATATTTTAAAAAGCTGTTAGAGATGCTCATGTCAATACTCAAATCCAATAATATTTGTAGCTATTCTGTAATCGCTGTCTCAGGTATCATAGCAATTCATTTTTGTATTAGTCTCCCATGGCAGTTTTAAGCTTTCTTGATATGCTTACCATTATATTTTGCAAGAGTGCAACTTGAAAGCACTTGCATTGCAAGACCATCTCCACTGATACACAGACAACCGTATAAGTTCTCAAATATTTTTTATGAGTTACAATTTATATTCAATGTAGTTTTTTCTAGTTATGAATAAGGTACGTTGAATATTAATTGTAATATTAATTTAATATTAATTGCGGCTATGTTCAAATGGACGTAGGGGTGGCTGGGGATGATTGCGCAAGCGCGCATTCCATCCACTGATTGCCAGTGACAAAAACTTAAACTTTCAGATGGTATATTGTTAAGTATGGGTAGCCCTGGGATTTTTCAAGTTATTAACGAAAATGTTACTAAAATACTTAAAAATCGATACTACGGTGCGGCGCATATACACTAAATTGCTTCTCTAATTATTTTCTAATGGACATTATAATACAAAAATTGATATACACATTCTTGGGATATTAAAAAACAATGTTACATAAAAAAAATTTCGATTTTTAAAAATTCATAAGATCTTTTGTATACTGAAGTTTCTCATTTCATGAATTTTTAGTTTATAATTTTTTATAAATAACCAAACAAACATATTTACTTTTGACAAAAACTGTAAGTAACTATGAAGTACGAATTATATCGCCAATTTTTAATTAGTTCTATAAAATAATAATTATCACAGTTTAAAGCGAGTTGAACACAAGTAACGTATTTTTAATACGCGAAAATGCGATAGAAAACCATTTAAGAACCGCCACGATGCTGAAGCCCCCTTCAATGAA